TTCGGGCTATGACCCGCCATGCCACTTACATCGTAGTGAACCACCCACATGCCCTCCGTATTTCATCACTGAGAAGTTTATTCCACTCGAACAGCTTCTTACTGCGAACCACTACTCTGTGAAAACGACTCCCAAGAGGATGCTTCTCTGATCACTACACTCTTAACCTGTTCAAGGCTACGGTTAGCCGTTATAACCACCCCCTATCCTTACTGGAATATATATATATATATATATATATATATATATATATTAAAAAAATCTTTGCTTATTTCTGACTCTTTTTCTTCGCTGATAATTTTTCCTATTTATTAATGTATAGGTGTAAAAACGGGTCTTTGGTCTGATTTTTATATATTTATATATATATATATATATATATATATATATATACACACACACATTTTACAGACATTTTAAGACATTTTTATGTTTATACATTCTTTTTAATTTTTTTTTATGTCTAAAAGAATTGTCGGACTGTGTCCATTTTCATAATATATATATATATATATATATATATATATATATATATATATATATATATATGTGTGTGTGTGTGTGTGTGTGTGTGTATTAGGATATTACACCGAAAATATGTCAAAATCGCTACACAATTGTAGTCGTGTTTCGATGCGTATCAATGCATCTCATCAGTACAATCGCCAATAATAATCGCCTAATTTTTCACATATTTTCGGTGTAATATCCTAAAATAAATACTATTGCTCTACTCTGTAATGAGCCATCTTTAAAATTAAATATTACGAACGTTGGTATTGTACTCTATTCCTTCTCACACGTTTGTTAGGGCGGTTAAGCAATCCTTGTCAGTCGCATCATCCGTAGTTTATATTGCAACACTTCTAAGCGGACCTTAGCTACAGTTTCTGGTAGAGAGCATATAGTTAACAGCTGTTAGGTTGAAATGAGGCATTTTTTTGCTTGGTTGTTGATCCGGTCGTCTAACGAATTAACCATCTTAGTATATATATATATATATATATATATATATATATATATATATATATATAAAATGTTGACTTATCCGGACTCTTTTTCTTTTAAAATAATTTTTCTTTCAATATATTGTTACTCATAAGCCGAATGAAAATGATTACAATGAAACAATGTTGAGTAATCTTACTCTATGAGTAAAAACTGGAGAAAAGGAACCATTTTTGCATCAAATCTTTAAATGCGATGAGAAATGGATACTCTTTGACAATAGTAAGAGAAGTAGGCCAGTGGTTAGATGCAAGTGAATCACCAAAACAATACCGAAAATCTCCATTGCACCTTAAAATGTTAATGGTTACTGTATGGTGGTCTTTCAAAGGGGCTATTCATTATTCATTCTTGCCTCAAGAGGAAAATAACAGCAACCTCATATTGTGGAGAAATTGAGTGTATGTAAGAAAAATTGAAAAAGAAGCATCCTACACATGTGTATAGGAATGGTCCAATTTTGCAGCATGACCACATGTTTCTCAATCAACTGTCCAAAAGCTGCAGAGCCTGAGTTATGAAAATTTACCTACATATATATATATTAATATATATATATATATATATATATATATATATATATATATATATATATATATATACACGTTTCATTAAATAATATAGACAAGTGTTGTCTATTTATTTTATGTAAATTTTTTCGTAACATCTGATAAGTTTAATAACATTATCGTTGAACGAAGAAAGAAATTCACAATAGTGATCCATATTTTTTATATAATCTAAGCTTGGCTTACTTTTTAAGCCATTATCAAAGATGTCAATTACAACATATTAAACAATATACGATGCTGCCTAAATACATAAACAATATATATATATATATATATATATATATATATATATATATATATATATATATATATATATATCTGTGTGTGTAAGCCAGTGGTTAGATGCAAGTGAATCACAAAAACAATACCCAAAACCTTCACTACACCCTAAAAAGTTAATGCTTAGCCTGTGGTGGTCTTTCAAAGGGATTATTCTTTATTTATTCTTGTTTCAAGAGGAGAAATTGGGTGCATGCACGAAAAACTGAAAAAGAAACATCCTAGTCTTGTGAATTTTGCTGCATGACAACGTATGGCTGCACGCTTCTCAATCAATTGTCCAAAAAGTGCATAGCCTGAATTTTGAAATCTCATCAGGCTTAAATGTTCATTTTAATACGCACAAAACATTGTCAATAAGGAAAAGGTTCGAAAATTTATTTCAACAAAGATATAAATATAAATATATATACATCTATTTCAAATAAATAAATTAGTTATTTAACATTTCAGACCAACTACATTTTATAGAAATGATGCAAATAAATAAATAAACATTAAAAAACGCTACAAAAATGCAAAAAAATGAGGCTTAAATGTTCAATAAAGTAGCGAATTCAACAGATATAAATATAAATATATATACATCTGCCTCATCAGACCAACTACATTTTATGAAATGATGCAAATAAATAAATAAA